ACTTCCTTTATGACTGGGTGGCCATCATACCACTTGATGATTCCATGAGGAGGAGAGTTGGTTTTTTAGATCACACCCTTCACTACCCATACCTGAAGGAGTCTTGGAGCAGCTTACAATCCCATTCCTTTCCGCTCCCCACAACAGGCACCCTGAGAGGTAGGTGGGGCTGAGAGAGCTCTGAGAGAACTGACTGGCCAAAGGTTACCCAACAGGCCTCATGTGTCTCAAAGCGGCTTACAATCGCCTTTCCTTCTTCTCCCCACAGCAGTCACCTTGTGAGGTAGGAGGGGCTGAGAGAGTTCTGAGAGAACTGTGACTGGCCCAAGGCCACCCAGCTGGATATGTTGCCGAAGGCTTTCACGGCCAGAGTTCATTAGTTGTTGTAGAATTTCCAGGCTGTATGGCTGTGGTCTTGGCACTGTAGGACCTGACATTTTGCCAGCAGCTGTGACTGGCATCCTCAGAGGTATAACACGGTACTCTCTGTGTCAAGGTCACCCAGCTGGCCTCACTTGTCTCAAAGCCGCTTACAATCGCCTTTCCTTCCTCTCCCTACAACAGGCATCCTGTGAGGTAGGTGGGGCTGAGAGAGCTCTGAGAGAACTGTGACTGGCCCAAGGTCACCCTGCTGGCTTCATGTGGAGGAGTGAGGAATCTAACCCGGTGCTCCAGATTCGTGTCCGCTGCTCCTAACCACTACGTCACACTGGCTCTGATTACAGCACGTGGTTCTAGATTGGGGGGAGGTTAAACTGTTGTTAATTCTGTATCAAATATAGTTTGAGGTTGACTCTATTTGTGTAGAAATTAAACTCCTGGGAAAATATGAATTTCTATGGATTACTACAGCCTTTACTTACTACACTATTACATCAGCAACTCGTAAAGGCTGTAGTAATCCATAGAAATTCATATTTTCCCAGTTGGTTTTTCAGAATTTTTTTTTGAAGCCATTAGTATGCATTCAAATATCTGACACTTGTGAACCTCTACCCCTTAAGATGACATTCTAGAAGTTATGGAAATATTCATATTGAGTTAGTAATAGATCTAAATTTTCCTGTTCCAAACTTTATTATGTATCTGATTTTTGGAATGTGATTACATTATAATAACATTTATATTATTTTTTTTAAAAATCCACTTTGGCAAAGAAAGTGAGGTTGCACAGAAGGCAGGTAAGCTGTGGCTGCGACACAACATGCAATGTGAATCCAGAGAGAGGAAATGGCTCTTGGAGGGTCAATGTATTCCTCTCTCTATACAAAGAAATCAAGGATTGTCCCATGGTCACAATCCTGCCTGAACCAATGGGAGAAAAAATTTCTAAGAGTGAGCCCACTCCAGTCTCCATGAGTACTTGAAAAAAAAAACAACCCACACACTTCCTTCACTTTCTTCAGAATCAGGAACTCATGACCAATGCTCCCTTCTATGCTGCGGAGTCTTGTGAGCAAAAATTCTACTTTGTGAGCTGCTGGCATTAAAGTTGTGAACCAGCGATTTGGCTACTGCATAAATTAGTTTGCACTAGGGCCATCCTTCCTGAGCAAAGACAAAAATGTGTGAGCTAGAGGCTAAAAAACTGTGAGCTAGCTCACACTAACTCAGCTTAGAGGGAACACTGCTCATGACTGCTACCAGTGGAATTGGCTCTGGATTAGGAGACAACCAGGGCTTTCTTTCATGGGGGAATGCGCTGGAATGGAGTTCCGGAACCTCTTTGACAAAATTCTTTTAAAAGTTCGTGAGTGTTCACATTCAGATTGAAAACGTTGTTTCTTTCTTGAGAGTTCTGGCACCTCATTCCCCCCCCCCCCCCAAAAAAGAGAAAGCCCTGGAGACAACCATCTTTCAATAACACATCAAAGGGATGGGAGGTAAAATTAAGTGCCATGAGCAAGTCAGCCAGACCTCCATGAGGAATCGCAGAGGTGGGATTTATACGTCTAGATTCAGTGTGATTCTGCCTCACTCTTGCATTTCAGAGGGGAGCCGTGTTGGTCCAAAGTAGAACGGCTGGGGTGGAGTCCAGCGGCACCTTAAGAGACTGGGGGGGGGGACAAGCTTGGGAGAGTCAAAGCTCCCTTCTTCAGATGTCCTGCAGTCTATGGGCTATGTAGTGCATAAGCAGCCACTAGGGTTGCCAACTTCCAGGTATTGGCTGGAGATGTTCATCAGCAGAAAATGACCACTTTGGAAGGTGGCCTCTGTGGCACTGTACTCCACTGAAGTCCCTTTCTTCCCTTCTCTGACTCCATCCCCAAAACCTCCAGGTATTTCCCAACCTGGAGCTGGCAACCTTGACCGCCATTGGCATAGCTATACAACTGACCGTCTAAATGGTTGGCCCTAGGCAGGAAGGTGATGAGCTACAAGCCAGTCAGAAAGTATTCTCCAATTTCCCGTGAAGTTCAGTGTCCCAAGAAACCAGTTTCTCATTTTAACACACACGTACACACAGAGAGGTTCATACTCTTGTGCCTGCAAAGTTTGGAAGACCCTGGCAGAACCCTTCCAGCTCTGTGGTGGGCAGGGAAGAGGAGGGCAATGCACCTATAAGCGTTCCAGTGTCCGAGATTTTGGTTAAAAGCATAGATCCCACCCTTCCCTTATGATCAGAGGCAGCTATTACAACTGATCTCCAGGCAACAGAGATCAGTTCACCTGGAGAAAATGGCCACTCTGGAAGGTGGATTCTATGGTATGATACCCCACTGAAGCCCCTCCCCTCCCCAAACCCCACCCTCCTCAGGCTCCACCCCCAACATCTCCAGGAATTTCCCAACTTGGAGCTACTTAACCCTACTTAAAAGGTTAATGATTGCCTCATGAAAGCTTATGCCAGTCACAGACTGCATTGTGTCAAATGTAGATTGTTTATATGCCGAGGACACATGCACAATTAAAAATATATATATGGCATTACAAGTTCCACTAGAATTGTGTTTGTGCGCAAGTTGGATTTTTAATATATATTTTTTGCAGACGCCTCAAATGCAAATATTTTCAAGTGGATTGGATTATTCGTATTTCCAATTTTTGCAGTTTCCTACTGAAATATAACTTGCCCCATTTATTTATAGATTCCATTTCAAGATCAGGGCACAGAGACCTTCTGTAGTGATACACTTCAAAGTACACCAGGAATTAAGTTGCCTGTGAAAATGGAAATGGGAAGAGCTGTGTTGCCTCAACAGGAACACGCTGAACCATGGGTGGCCTCTCAGTCAAAATCTGATAGCTAAGAATGCAATCTTAGACATGCTTTATGGAGACATCCCACAGAATTATTATTGCCTGGAAAGTATGTATAAGATGGGTGGCTTTAGAAACTGAGGCAGGCCCCTGGTTTGAACCTTGTCTTAAGTTATGAACTCACCATGTAGTTTTAGGCCAGCCTAAACATTGTTATAGGGCAGGCATGTCCAACTTCGAACAGGTAGTGATCTATTTTTTCCGGCCAAAAGTGCTGGTGATCTACCACCATGAAAATAAAGTTTCAAATTAGATTTTAACCCACTAAAGTTGGGTTCCACCGCCCGCTCACATTTATAATGCACCTTCTGTCATTTACTGGTAAGCAAAATAAGCAAAAACAAAACAGAGAGATGAAGATCCAGAAAGAACTGCAAACATTTTTTTATTTTTTATTGAGTTATAACTTGAGCTACGGTGGCTCAAGTGGTTAAGACGCTGAACTGCAGGCTGTGGAAGGTCGGTAGTTCAGCGGTTCAAGACCCGAGTGTGCCGCATGACGAAGTGAGCTCCCGTCTCTAGTTCCAGCTCCTGCCAACCTAGCAGTTCGAAAGCAAGAAATTGCAAGTAGATAAATAGGTACCACTTCGGTGGGAAGGTAACAGCATTCCGTGCGCCTTGGGTGTTTAGTCATGCCGGCCACATGACCACCGAAACGTCTTCGGACAGCGCTGGCCCTTTGGCTTTGAAACGGAGATGAGCACCGCAATCCTAAAGTCGGATTCGACTGGCTTTCGAGCAAGGGAACCTTACCTTACCGTACCTAACTTTCTTTAATTGTGGGGCTGGTGATCTTCCTCTGACCCCTCCGCGATCTACTGGTAGATCTACCTGTTGGACATACCTGTTATAGGGATAATACTGACCTACTTGGCAAAGTTGTTGTAAGGATTGTGCAACAATGATAAATTGGAGGGCATCCATATGCCCTTGCTCCCAGCCAAATGAACTGAAGTGCATGGTAATATAATAGGACAGGGGCTTCTTGGTGGTCGCACCAACACTGTGGAATAGCTTCTCCCACATGGCTCATACGTAACCATGCAGTCATTTTTGGCATAGTTGGCTTTTAGGTAATGCTAATGGTTCCTGCCTCTTGCCTTGGCCTACTTCATATTTCCCCATGCTCATAATGCCTGTGTTTAAGTCGTCCACCACCACCCTGCTGCTATAAAACTGGGTCAATCAGTTTCATCCTCTGTTTTTTTTTAAAAATTTTTTTACGGAACTGTTTTCTTTTAGAGTGAGATTAGAGTGAGATGCTTTGGACGCTATTTGTCAGAGTTTTACACTGGTGTGTGTGGGGGGGGGGGGACAATGTTTTCTCACATATTTTACCTTCACAACAAATTAGAAGAAAGGTTAGTCGGCGGCTACTCTGAGAGTTCAAATGGGCGTGGCAGCTGAGTGGGGGGACTGAACTCAGACCTGCCCAGTCTAGCCTGATACTCTAACCTCAACACCACACTATCTCTACAAATTTAGAGACAGGGAACCATTGTAGTGAAATCAAATTAATGTGACAGTCACTATAGAAGGCATAACGTTTCCAAGGCTTTGGAGGGGGCGGATTTAATCAGGGCAGTAAAAAAAAACAGGGGAAGAAATTCCCAAGCATTTCAATTTTCTCAGAATAATTTATTAAATACATTAAAATTTGTGTTTGAAATTTCAACATTAAAACAAGTTGATCAAAAAAAGACACACAGACCAAAAAAAGAGGAGATAAGTCAGTCGTCTCTATAAACAGTCGGTGCAGTGAAAGTGTCAGGATTTGTGTCTGTGTTGGCAAAGCGGAAGAAGGGGGGGTTGAAGGCAGGAGATCGGCAAGCCGAAAAGAAGGGCTTTCATTCACAGGGCCAAATCACACCGGACTGGAACCCCAGGATCAGAAATCCTGGCGCTACATTTGCCCCCAGAAAGTCGTCATGGGTACTTGTCCATTGCTCCCCTATCAAGGCATCAAGGCAACCAACAGAACTGAATGTGCGTGCGTGTGTGAGGAGAAAGAAGAGTTAATCCACTTGCCCGGCACCGTGGCACCAATCCAGTTTTACCACCACCACCACCACCACCACCACCCCACATACACACAAGCTGTTCGTTGAAGGCCGAATGCCATGGCTGGAGTTCCAATTACAAAATCAGGCTGACAGCATCGCTAGAACAGCTTCTGATGGGAGCGGGCAGCGCTGAAGCCAGCCAGCTAAGATCAGAAGCAAGCCTTGGAATTGACTTTGGGCCCCAGGACATGGCTTGCCTCTGGAAACCGCCAGCTCACTTTGGAAGGCGCTCTTCTGGGAAGCGGCCAGATCGCAAGCCTCTTGGAAAAGGCACTGGCCAGCCATTCCCTCTCAACCAGAAATCACCAGGGATGTAAACAGCAAGAGCACTCGGCACGGCGAGGGCACTGCACACAACACAGAGCGTATTTGGGGGTCTTTTGTGTCTGGCGAGGCACATGGGTCTTGGTGCAAGAGGAAATGATGACGTCTGTTTTACAAAAGGATGCCTTTTTTCTTTCTTTTTTAAAAAACAAAGTCTCCTCCCAGTACGTGTCCAGCTTTACTCCTTGGGAGATAAATCAGAGGTAGAATTGGGGCGGAACCTTGATTGTTGGCAGTCCCCGGCCTGTTCGAAGCTGCAGTGATTTCAGTGGGAGAGGTGGTAAAGAGCGGCTTCCCCAGGCACTTAGAAGGAAGGCCCAGAGAGGCATTTTGAAGCTGACCTGGGCCACCAAACGGCAAGCAGCCTTGGGCATGAAGAAAGAGACTGCGCCGCACTGTCTCAGTGCTATATAAAAAAAGTTAATACCCATCTTCCTAAACTGCTGATCCTTCGACCTCCTTTCAGAGAAGGATCGCTCTGCTGCAAGCTGTGTGGCAGACCGTCGTGTGACTTAAAAAGATATTCAGGCAACGCCCTTGTCAATTCAATATTTCCCCCCTCCCTGCACGAGAAATCCCGTACTTGCTTCATGCCGTGGGAATCTGAACCAGCGGTACCCTTGCTGAACTGCTGCTGCTGCTCCCTATAGAATGACCTGCCGTTTTGGGGCAACCTTGGCTGTTTCGATGGGCACGCAGAGGAAAAGGGAGATTAACAAAAACATATTCGTCCACTTTTAAAAGTTTTTTTTTTTAAAAAAATCAGACCTCGCCATATGCGTTCCAGTTTGCACGCGGCTGATAAAGAGTGGCACTCAAAAATTTACACACACACATATATAGATATATACACAGACATACACCCACGATCCACACTCCATTCATACAAGACATCTTGGTAGCGTTTCAGTTAAGGCATCACAGGTGCTCAGATAGTAAAAGCAGCAAGGAAGATGGTGAACTGTACAGTACGAGGACAGAGACCGTCACGCAAGGCATTCTCCACGGAGCAGGCAAGTGGCAGCCTGGCGTCTTGGCAGAAACCGCCCTCCTGGGCAATGCGTGTGCGCTGTCCTCCCCCACCCGGTGTCAAGCCGGACGGATTCTTAGCCAGAGTCTAATTGCCGTTGCTCAGACTGGAGTTAGCACTGCTGCAACTTTGTTCGTAGGAAGGGGGTGCCTCTGGGGGGGGGGGAAGAGTAAAAAGAGAAGTGAGAGAGAGAAAAGAGTCAAGCAAGCTAGCTTCTCCCTCCTCCTCCTCCTCCTCCTCCTCCACCAGCCTAAGAAATGAAGTTTTAGACATGACGTTCTAGGAAATTTGGGCTACGACCAGTTCTCTCACAGCAGCCCTCAACTATTTTGCACCTGACACAAAGTGACCGAAGGTATGAAGTTTGTCTTAAATACTCAGACCACTTGGGTCTTTCCCAGGCCTGGTACCAGAGACTGAACCTGGGATGCTCTCCATACACTCCTTCCAAGGCACGCCCCCTCCCAAGAGACGCACAGTGCCGTTATCGGTGGCATGAGGCACCCTTATAACCAAGTCAGACCACTGGTCTACTGCCCAGTCTGGCTAGCAATGGCTCTCCAGGATCTCGATTCTTTTGCCCAAACCTGCTAATTCTTTACGTGGAGATGCCAAAGATTAGATCTGGGGCCTTCTTCATGCAAAAGGAGAATTCCTGCATCCTTGTCTTCTGAGGACACACTCACAAACACTGGCAAAAGAATGTGGGGGGCCGGTGGGGGTGGAATGAGAGGAATTCTGTCGGTGGAGGCCATGATGCGGACATGAATGGGGACAGAAACATCTGGAGGCTTCAGAGATACCTAAAGAAACGGAAGGGGTGAGCTCTATCACCAAGTTACAAGCCCCGGGAAGCTTCCCACTGAGATTGGGGACCCCACTACTTACCGTACGGGTATCCCCAAGTGCTGTACTCTGGAGGCAAGATCAGGGCGCTGGCGGTGGGGACCGGGACAACTGTGCCCTCAGCGAAATAAGGGACGGTCGCCCCTGTCGACAGGCAAAGCGTGGGATGGTTGGGGGAGCCCGTCTGGTCGGAGCCCTGCCTTGCGTCACTGAAGCTTAAGCCCGGTGCATAGCTGAAGGGCTGGTGTTGAGAGTGGCTTTTGGTGGGAATTGAAACACTGTCCAGGGGGTGGTAGCCACCGGCAGCCTCGTCGTCTTCTGGGGGGGCGCTCGGAATCACAATGTGGGCGGTCAACATGGACGGGTTTAAAGAAATTCTGTTCACAGAAATGTTGCCGATATAAATGGGGAGGGTGATGGAAACTGCTGGAGACTTCAGGGCAACCTACAGAAACAGAGGAGTGGGGAAGAGGGGGAAGAGACAAGGCAAATTGGAATCTGTTTATCCCTTACACACACACACACACACACACACACTGTGTCATCGCTTACTCTGGAATGGTGCACAGAGTTTTGCATGGGGTGACTGGCTCAGTCCCTTTGAACAGTGTGCCTCTTTGGGTTGGGGGACGTGAGGCTTGCCGACCCACCACAGGGTGCTGTCTGTGTGGGCCACAAGAGCTCACTTGCTGGGAGTGACCCAATGTTCCCTCTAAGCTGTGGAGTCTTGTGAGCAAAAATTCTACTTTGTGAGCTGCTGGCATTAAAGTTGTGAGCAGGCGATTTGGCTACTGCATGAATTAGTTTGCTCTGGAGCCCTCCTTCCTGAGCTAGGACAAAAATGTGTGAGCCGGAGGCTAAAAAATTGTGAGCTAGCTCACACTAACTCAGCTTAGAGGGAACACTGGCTGGGACTGCTGCCAGATGGTCTCAGACAAACAGATTTTGATGGCTGATGGCCAGTGCTCCCTCTAAGCTGTGGTGTCTTGTGAGTAAAAATTCTACCTTGGGAGCTACTGGCATTAAAGTTGTGAGTGAGCGATTTGGCTACTGCATAAGTTAGTTTGCTCTGGAGCCATCCTTCCCGAGCGAAGACAAAAATGTGTGAACTAGCTCACACTAACTCAGCTTAGAGGGAGCACTGCTTATGGCACCCATGAATCCATTCGGCAGTGTTGGACAGGGCTGCCACAGGCTCGAGGCCTAGCAGTGAGGCGTTACAGCTCTAGGCAGGATAGCGGTCTAACCTGGATGTAGTAATCAATGTGAATGAGACTACAGCCTTGCAGAAGGGACTGCGGCAGCGCCGGGACAAGGACCTGCTCCTTCCACTCGGCATGTTTCCAGCCCTTGACGGCTGAGCCTTCCACCTCCGCAATGGTCCTCAGGTCATAAATCCACCGCTTGGCTTTATAGGCAACTTTCTGCAAAGGAAAAGGGGGGAGGGGAGTGAGAAAGAAGGACAAAAAAATTAATAACTTTGTTCTGGTCACTGCTCAAAAAAGCCACCCTCTGACTCAACAAGGTTGTGAAACACACAGTCTACGGGTGACTCGGGTCGCAGAAGTTGGACAGAAACTGATAGGGGCAAAACCCTCAACGACACTACTTCCACCTTACTGCCTTGTATGTCCCTGACCTCTCTGCTGAATGTGAACTAGCCACTAAAAACCAGTTTGTCTCACAATCCGGAACGTGGAACAGAATATGAGTTACACAAAGGAAACAACTTCCTCTACATCAACCATTCTCCATTTCTGAATGGAAACAGTAGGAGCCCTTCCACATTTCTCCCTCTAAGACAAAATTCACAGAGAACTGGACCACTAGGTCCTATTAGGCACAGTAACCAAATGGTCAAAGAAGACGGGGACGGCAAAGGATGAGATGGTTAGACAGTGTCATAGATGCAACGAACATGAAATTGAGCCAACTTCAGAGGACAGCGGAAGACAGGAAGGCCTGGCGTGATCTGGTCCATGGGGTCGCGAAGAGTCGGACTTGACTGTGCGACTGAACAACAACAAGCCAAATGGAACCGTATTCAGGGGTGGAATCAGAGTACCAAATGCTGGGGAGGACAAGACAGGGCTGTACACCACCTTCGTGACCATCTTGAGAGTTTTCCAGACGCAGCTGGCTGCTGTTGGGAAGAGACTACTGATCTGGAGGGAGCAGCCATTCCAGGAAAGTATTTCTCGCCCACAAGGTCCCACGCAGTAGTTTATACAGGTGTGTCAAACATACGGCCCATGGGCTGGAACCGGCCCATCTGGGGCTCTTCTCCGGCCTGCGAGTAACTGGTCATTACCTTTACCGCCAGATGACAGAGGCTGTGCATTCTGTCCCTGTATACTGTCCCAGTGCTAATGCGTAATGGGCGGTGGAAGCAGGAGGGTGGGCATCAGGGAGCTACTTCAAGGCAATACTGTAAGACTGTGAATGTTTTAAGCATATTTGTATTTTGAGGGGGAAAATAAAATTATTAATTGGGTTTGCCTGTGTCCTTTATAAAGTTTATATCTCTGGTACCTGACATTACATTTTACGGCACACGTGGCCCTGCCCGACAAAGTGACATTTATGTCAGATCCGGCCCTCGTAACAAATGAGTTCAACACCCTGGCTTAAGGGATAACCCTGGATTGCCGGGTTGAGACCTACCGGTGGAACAGGCAGTGGGCAGGTTAAAGAAGCCACACGGATGATGCCCAGGAATAGTTCCAGGTCGCACTGGACAGCAAAATGTTATTGGCTACACAGAACTGGTGCGAAAACGGAGCTAAACTTGTAAGCGATGAATAAGGACGTCCTGGGTTCAAATGTCGCTTTAGAAATGCCACTTTGAAGTGAGTCCAAAAAACCTATAAAGTATTTAACTTGAATAGAATACTTGTGATGCATATAAGTTATAAGACTTGATGTGTGGTTATCACTTCTCTATAGGTTTCACATTTGATTAATGTATTACTCCGGTACTTTCAGTACAGTCTTCTGTTAGTTGCTTTATTTTATGTCATTTGATTTGTGTGGTGGATGTTTGTAAGTTCGCTGGTTTGTATTATATATAAAATGTTAAATAAAATAAACTTGAGACAGCAAAAAGAAAAAGAAAAAAGAAATGCTGCTCTGCAAAGCTGTTATTGACACGCATGCAAAAGCTCCCGGGTGCAGTCCCTCCTACCTGGATCAGACTGGCCACAATGGTGCTCGTGTCACGGCCAGATTTATTCTCAATCTCTGTTTGCAGGTGGATGACCTGCCCTACCACATAGCCCTTTTGATCCGTCGTTGCCGTCAGAACCACGTTGCCAGTTTTCACAAACTTGTAGTTGAACTTCTTAGTGACTGATGCAATGTTCGGGTGCTGCAGAGGAGGCACGCAGAATGAGAGTGGTCAGAGATCAAAGGGACACGTGTGGTCAGCCGTTAAGTTAGTCCCATGATCCCAGGTCTCCGGACCTTTGGCTGCTTCTACCACCCATGGGTGCGAAGATGCGCCACGGCAGCAACGGCAAGCGGGGCGTGAACAGCAGCCACACGTATCCGTCCCTATTGTGTTCGCCGCTGCTGCTCCTGTCCCACTCACCTCCCCCTTTTCCTCCACCACATCTGCACAAAAAGCACAGACATAGCTGTTTTCAGCACACACACCCCACACACAACCTGGAAGCCCCCCTCCCCTCTCCTCCCCTCCGCCTTTCCTTGTCAAAGCCCGCTGAGAGGTTACAGCGCAGCTCAGCCGAGAAAGGGGAAAATAAGCCTTCTAAAAGGGGAGAAGAAATGTAAAGCTCCGCTCCGCCCCACAATGACTGTAAGTGGATGCTCGGCCTGCAGCCCCCCCCCCCCCGCAGTTTTCCCTCTGAGCTGGATTAACGTGGATTTATTTTTAATCCGGCTCAAAGGGGGGAAAGAACACCAGAGGCAAATTGGGCACAATGTCGTCTAGATGCTTCCAAGTATGGATGGGGAGGGAGGGGGAGATTCCCACTGCACGTGTGGGAAAAATCCCTGTCTGGAGCAGCCTTCATTCGCCTTCACTTACCAGAGGCTTCCTAGTGATTTTAAAGGTAAAGGTTCTCTTGCTCAAAAGCCAGTCGTGTCCGACTCTAGGGTTGCGGTGCTCATCTCCGTTTCAAAGCCAAAGAGCCAGCGCTGTCCGAAGACGTTTCCGTGGTCATGTGGCCGGCATGACTAAACACCAAGGCGCACGGAACGCTGTTACCTTCCCACCGAAGTGGTACCTATTTATCTACGTGCAATTTCTTGCTTTCGAACTGCTAGGTTGGCAGGAGCTGGAACTAGAGACGGGAGCTCACTCCGTCATGCGGCACACTCGGGTCTCGAACTGCTGACCTCCTGACCTTCCACAGCCTGCAGTTCAGCATCTTAACCACTTGAGCCACCGCAGCTCTTACTTGCTGGTAATATCGGGTATGCATTTATATTAGGGCCAAGAATACAAATGGCCCTGGGGATCCATGACTGGATCCCCACAACGTGTCTTTCAGCCAAGACACCACCGGCTTATGCTGACCCCTCTTGGTTTTTCCAAGGCAAGAGATGAGCAGAGGTGGCTTGCCACTGCCTGCCCCTGCATAGCGACTCTGGACCTCCTCGGTGGTGTTCCCATCCCAGCACTATCCAGAACCAACCCTGCTTAGCTTCCGAGATCTGATACGATTGGGCTAACCTGGGCCATCCGAGTCAGGACAAAAATCCTTCCACGCCCCTTTCCCTTCTGCAGAGGTATATAGTGGAAAGCCCCATCAAGTTGCACCCGACTCATTATCCCGTCTGCAGGGTGCTCCGGGCAACAGAGGAGCAAAGAGGGTTTTGCCAGTGCCTGCCTCTGCATAGCAACCCTGGACTTCCTTTGGGGGGGGGAGGGTCTCCCATTCAAGTCCTGAGCAGGGCCAACTCCGCTTAGCTTCCAAGAGCCAAAGAGGCCCAACTAGCCTGGGCAACCCAGGGCAGGGCCCTGGACGGTCACCCTGGTCGAAACGGCTTCTCCCCCCGCAGAGTTGTTTGTTGCTCTGTGGAGGGTGGGGGAAGGGGGAAACAGGCAGGGAGAAGAGATCAGCAAAGCAAGCGGAAGAGAGACACGACACCTTCCCCACCTCCACCAGCCCTTACCTCAATCTCAGGGATATCGTTCAGGTTCAGCGGGCAAAGGACGTAGAAGACCTTGTGGCACTTGTGGCCCTTGGCAAATCTCGGGGTGTCTATCACTGCTTTGATCTGGTGCGTGACCTTCCCAAAGGGCCCTTCGAAGGACGTGGGAGCCGAAGCTGGTTGGCGCAGGAAGAAAAGGGGAGATGGGCAGAAAGCCAAGACACAAGGCCAAAAACGAAGCCCTGCGCACAGTCCAGTGTTCCCTCTAAGCTGAGTTTGTGTGAGCTAGCTCACAGTTTTTTAGCCTCCGGGCTCACAGGTTTCTGTCTTAGCTCAGGAAGGACAGCTCCAGGGCAAACTGATTTATGCAGCCGCCAAAATCGCTCTCTCACAACTTTAAGGCCCGTAGCTCCCAAAGTAGAATTTTTGCTCACAAGACTCCACAGCTTAGAGGGAGCATTGGCGTACACCCTCAGTACTAGAAGAGTTCAGTCCTGGGATTTAACTTCTCCGTATCAACAGAAAATTCACTTGAGGGATCTGTGTTATTTGATTTTTATCCGCTCATTCATCCAAGGAGCTCAGGGCAGCATGCACACCCACCCAGTGAGGTGGCTTAAAAGGCAACAGCCCGAGGTCACCCACTGAACTTCATGGTTTGAGTGGGGGTTTGGACCCCAGCTTCTCTCCCCAGCTTCAGCCCAGCCCTTTAACTGGGAAACGACACCGGCTCTCACTCTGCGTTCCACCCTTTCTCCAAGAAGTCCCAGGTAGAACCCTGGAGCATTATCCTGCTGTGAGGAAGGCAAGGCTGGGAGACTACCCAGTTAGCGCTGTTGTTAACGGACCTGTATGTGTCTGATATTTCATTACAACTTATCACTGGTTTTAAAACCCAAGTTTTATCAGCTTGAGAGGTTTCTTGGGCCCACCGCCTGCATAACAGTGTTTGAAATGCTTTTTAAAAAATGTGTTTGGAATGCAAGACTCTGCATTCATCGCCCTTGGATACCCAACATGGGGGAGGAGGGCATTAAATCAACAGGGACTCTGACATCGCAGTACAATTACCCGCCCTGATACCGGCCTCATCTGGGAAGCAGAAGAAACTCCTCCATACCTGGCAACATAAACTGGAAGGGAAAGGTGTGCTCGCCGGGAGACAGGAACCCTGTGAAAACAGAGACAGGAATGGAGGTGAACCAGCAGCCTATGCAGGCAGACGGCCAAACTGGAGCTCTCTGCTTATTTCAGGCAGACAAAAGGAGAACAGGCCGGATTCCACCCATCCACAGGAACATTCTTCATAGCAACAGTAACTGTCAAAGAACACATCCTCCCTGGGATAGGAAACAAACATGTGCACATAATAAACGCACACACCACAAGTAGGGCCAAAGTGTTTCAGCCGACACCTTGAACTGCCAAGGCAGGATATTCTGTACATTGGAAGAAAGGCTCGTGTGTTTACAGTTTGGGGCACGCAGAGTAACAGTGCTGGATTCATATGGAAGAAGAGTAGAAATACATCCAGAGGCACTAATATAACATGCCAGCAGCAGGGCCAGTTCTAGGTTTTGGCGGAGTTGAGTGCTTGGAGCCCACCACCTCTCGCTTGCATGCAACCACAGCAGGAGTTGAGGGTTTTCTAGAGTACTTTGCACAAGCTGCGGTGGCTCAAGTGGTTAAAATGCTGAACTGCAGGCTGTGGAAGGTCAGTAGTTCAGCAGTTTGAGACCCAAGTGTGCCGCATGACGGAGTGAGCTCCTGTCTCTAGTTCCAGCTCCTGCCAAACTGGCAGTTCGAAAGCAAGAAATTGCAAGTAGATAAATAGGGACCACTTTGGTGGGAAGGTAACAGCGTTCCGTGCGCCTTGGTGTTTAGTCATGCCGGCCACATGACCACGGAAATGTCTTCGGACAGCGCTGGCTCTTCGGCTTTGAAATGGAGATGAGCACCGCAAGCCTAGAGTCCGATTCGACTGGCTTTCGAGCAAGGAAACCTTTACCTTTACCTTTACCTTGCACAAGCATCAAGCAAGGCCTCTGTGAGGTTAGTGGACCCAGAATCTTCCAGAATGTGCCATAGGGTTGCCAGCCTCCAGGTGTTGGCTGGAGATCTCCAGGCAATAGAGATGATGAAGACGAAGTCTCTATTCACTCGGAGTCTCAGAGCGGTTTACAATCTTCTTCCCTTCCTCTCCCCACAACAGACACCCTGTGAGGTGGGTGGGGCTGAGAGAGCTCTGAGAGAACTGCTCTTGAGAGAACAGCTCTGAGAGAACTGTGGCTTGCCTAAGGTCACCCAGCAGCTGCATGTGTAGGAGTGGGGAATCAAACCTGGTTCTCCTAGCATCTGTGCTCCTAACCACTACACCAAACTGGAGAAAATGGCCACTTTGGAAAGTGGATTCTATGGCATTATTCCCCATTCCCCTCCCCTCCCCAAACCCCACCCTCTTCAGGCTCCACTCCCCCCCCCCAGGTATTTCCCAGCTCAGAGCTGGCAACCCTAATGTGCTGGGGTTCCTTTATTCAAGATGGAAAGCTAGAAGCCCCACTTTGATTCAGGGACAATGTTTCCTGCCAAGGCGTAAGGTGGAAGAACAGGCAACTGGTTTCTCCAAACTGAGAAGGAAGCAATGGTGGCCTGGCAGTCTAGCACAAGTTTCGCAGGAGGCAGCCTCCAGTTCGGTCCGCATGACCTCAAGAAGCAAGTAGCAGGAAAGGCCTTCCTCCATCTGAGATCCCAAAGGATCGCTGCCAGTCAGAACAGCCCATGCCAAGCTAGGTGGAGTCATGGGGAAATAGCATCATGTACATTCAGATGCTTTTTGAAAGGGGGGGGGTTGCAACATGTAAATCAGCACCTTTGCCATGGAACAGTGAGGCTTGCAGGATACAGATCAAGGAAACACACTTCCACAAAAGCCGCAGCAGACAACGAGACGCAAAATGGACACTCAGACTATTTATTTCATTACACTTATGAATCGCCTAATCCCCACAAGTGTTGGGCTCGAGGCGATTGGAAAGATGTAAAACTATTAAAACCATAAAACCATATCTGACATAATATACACAGTTAAAACAGGTGGCGGATTTTCCGCGCAAGCGGAGACCCGAACGAGCCCCTCAGATGAGAGGAGCTCGGATCCGGGGCGCTTTAGGGCGTTCCAGGGGGGAGTCTCTCTTTCGGTCGAGAGATCGGAGATTGAGACTCTCGCCATGCCCTGCCCCTTTGGACCTTGCTGCGTGAGCGACCCCGTTCTACGGGGTTTAGCGGAACAACCGGGCGTCACCGAGTGATGAAGCGAAAAAAAAATGGAAAAGAAAAGACTGGCGTAACTGTGAGTTGTCAAAATACAGAGAAAATGAACTAAGAACGTTTCCCCCCCCCTTCAGCGGAAAATGAGGAGGTTAATCCTCTATAAGCGAGAAAGAAAAAAAAAAGAAAAGAGGGGGGGAATGGACTGAGCGAATAGTGATGTTTTCCTTTGATGTACTTGAAAATAAGCAAGAGGTTTTGTTTCCCTGGAGCGCATTTTAAAAACTTTACTAAAAATAAAAAACAAGATGTCGGAGCTGGGTAAAGACAAGCGGAGGAGAAGGGAGGGACTTCCGTCTGGGCGTTTGTGTCAACGTGAGTGCCGGCTGTTTAATATTTGGACTGTGTATAGCTATGAATCCAACGGGGATTGTGAAGGAAAAGAAAAGCTTGAATTGTGACAGCGAAAAGTGCCTCATGAGCGCTTATAAAAGTCAACAATTGAAGAGGAGAATCCAGCGAAGGGACTGGGAGCGGATAAAAGCGAAATTGAAATTAATACCATTCTCAAAGCTGGAGATCTCCGGGCATGGCATGAAAGGAAGACGACTTATAGCACAGGAACTGAAAGAGTTAACAGCGACCCGAAGGAGGAGGGGAAGAAGCCGGAGGCAAGAGAAAAACAGAGGAAGCCCCTCCCGTCACTGAGAGGGGAAAAGTAACCAGCGCGTTAAAGAAGCGGTTCTGAATGTGCCTTGAAGAGACTTTTTAACAGAAATTCAAAGGAACATTACTAACAAATTAACATAGAAAGTAACTGGAATGGAAAAAAGATGTTTGACAACACGCAGAAGAAGCCTTTGATGATTGGACATTACTAACAGTTTAATCTAACAGTTAATACATCACTCAGCTTTCTCTTCCTCCCACTATATACCCTCCTTATCTTTCTTTTTAAGCGAAACTCCTCCCCTTTTTAGGGGAGTCAATAAAATCTTTATACAAAAAACAGGTGGCGGATTTTATGTTTTGTCGTTCCCTCCCATTCCTGGCCTGTGAGTGCTTCATGGGCACGGGGAGGGAATAACTTCACAAGGGATAGGAGATTCGGATAGGGTAAGGGTGCCAGCCATGACGTAAGCCGTCACTGTCCTCGGCCAAAAGCCCAGCGGAACATCTCTGCCTTACAGGCCCTGCGGAATTGCATCAGATCCCACGGAGCCCTGATGTCATTGGGCAGAGAGTTCCACCAGGTTGGGGCCAGGGACGAGAAGGCCCTAGCCCTGGTTGAGGACAGCCGGACCTCCTTAGGGCCGGGCACCACCAGCAAATTGTTCTGTGAAGAGTGTTGTGCTCTCCCAGGGGTATAAGGGAGGCGGTCCCACAGATACGTTGGTCCCAGACTGCTCAAAGAAAGAGATCCCATGCACAGATCCCACGCACTGGGGCATCCATACTTAAACACTGATGCATGTATACTGAAACCCTCCGCTTGCATGTCCAATTCCTAGTCTAAAGGGGGGGGGGCAATCCCTGCTAGATATTACACTGCAAGTCAAAATCCTTGGCAGTACACTCCATTTTGCTCCTGCCAACCTAGCAGTTCGAAAGCAAGAAATTGCAAGTAGATAAATAGGGACCACTTCGGTGGGAAGGAAACAGCGTTCCGTGCGCCTTGGTGTTGAGTCATGCCGGCCACATGACCACGGAAACGTCTTCGGACAGCGCTGGCTCTTCGGCTTTGAAACGGAGATGAGCACCTCAACCCTAGAGTCGGATTCGACTGGCTTTCGAGCAAGGGAACCTTTACCTTTTTTACACTCCATTTGCCACCTTGTCCCAATAGATGGCTACTGCCCTTAATTATCCAATATTCCAGTCCATTACCTAAAGGTTTTGATGCAGAGGCGGAGCATTTGAAGACAGCAGGAAAATCAGAACCTTGATGGATGACTTCCCAGTCCGACATTGGACTGTGTTCGGCTAGTCTGCCTAATACCCCATTTGGCCACTAGGTGGTAATCCGCAGCAGCTTTTCAACTGCATGTGCCTAGAGATGGAAGGACTTGACTTGCGGGCCCCAAAGGTATTCAAGATAGTGGCGCAGCCTATCTCGGGACACTCTTAGAAATGGCTTGCTCCCACATAAGTGCATACAGGATTGTGTACCTGTGGCTGAGCAGGCCCATGATTGGGCTATTATGCCACATGGGTGTAATTTAGCACTTAAGGATTCTGTTCTTGATGCATCAATTGCTGTTTACTGAACGGCTTTTTATCGCATCTTGTACTTTGTTGTTGGATTATGCCGTTTTACTGTGCAATTTTGTAGATTTTATAGTATTGACTTGTGTTTACCTTCTGATCTTTTATTGTCAGACGCTTCAAGCATCTTTTTGGAGGTAGTGCCTAATAAATACCGTAAATCATTCAATGGGGCCCTTTTAAGTCTTAATCGCCTTCAGGATAGCAAGCACAGCTCTAAAACTTCTAAGAGTTTTGTATTCAGTTAGGAAGTTCACACACAAATATGTTTAGATCAATATTAAGTCAAATGATGTTATCTTTAGACTGTAATGATAAGAAATTGATATAGTTGATGATATGAAGCAATTTGGAGCGGGGGGGAAGCATTGCGGGAAGCCACCGGAGGGAGGGGAGGAATTGGGAACGGGGTAGACAATTGATAGAATGAAATGATTTAATTTTATATGTTGTATTCCTGAGAAAATAAAATTTGTTTACCAAAAAAAAAAAAAGGAAGTTCACACACACATGGGGGGCTGGATATGCAAGGCAGCCAGCAAAGTGAGTGGTGCTGTGTAGTGGTTAGAGCGCTGGATGAGGATCTGGGAAAACAAAGTTCGAATCCCCACTCCTGCCATGGAAGCTTCCTGGGTGACC